AAGAAGGGGGGTGTGGGGGGAGAGAGGGGGGGGGGGGGGGGGTTGGGGTGGGTAGGAATGGTTGCCTATAATGGAAACGGCTACTAACGAATTTAGGAGGATAAGAGCAGGGGCAGTGGAAGACTGACCCTAGCACTGGAGAGGTCATTGGTAGGTGAAACTTACCACGGGAGTTATGGTTATGAAGGGAAGAAGGAGTTTGGGTATGAAGTGAAGAGTATATGCATTGTGTGGATTTCTAACAGGTTTTAACCCTTTCCTGCTGTGTTGAATGCAGTATTAAGATATTTCTATATATTTTTTTTTATTTCAACCAGGGTTTGCTGTTCCAACATCAGGAATTGCGAGCAGAGGACAGAGCACAATGCACAATTCCCTTCATGTCTATCTGAACGGCTCCATGTCCTCCGTTCAGGGATCTGCAAATGACCCCATCTTTGTTCTTCACCACTCATTCGTCGATAGGTAAGGCTTCAGCATTCGGAAGAGCAGAGTAGATCACAATCCTTTTGTCATATAAGTGGTACAAAGTTGAAATAAGCCTTCCAATGTCTAGGATGCAGTGCCTAGTTGTCCCTGCGGGCGACTAATTTCAATGCAATGTTGCTCTTAGTATGTAGTATATAGACAGGATGGTTTTCTTCAGAGGAAAGCAGAGAATTAAAGTAAAATGCATCTTGTGCTGTTGAAACTATGATGAAGATATGCAAAAGCAATAGTCACCTTCAGTGAAAAATCTGCTGCTGCACATATATACGCAGCTAAACCTATATTCAAACCTCAACTTTTCCTCTAAAAAAAAAAAAAAGAGCTGTAACCCAACTCTTGACTCTTTGAGGTTCCTAATGGTCCTTTAGGTAGCCTGGCTGAACAATAGAGCTTTAAGAAATGGCAGACAACTTACATTTTTTTTTTTTTAAAGAAAAGTAAAGATTTACATTAAGATCAGTTCCCTGTATATCCGATTTGCTAATTGCTGTGACTTGTGGTTCTCACCGATGGTAACGCCTATTAATTTTCCATCATATGCTTGGTTCTGAAATGCCCAGGATCAGGACAGGCTTGCTTTAAATTGATCCTGTCAAGTCCTTCAAAAATTCTCAATGTGGCTCACTGTTAAGGAAGGAGTATTTAACTCCCTTCCATGCCCCATGAAACCTAGCTCCCCTCCATTACGGCAATGCAGCCTCATTAAGTGCCTTCAGCATTTGACACTTAAGTAGGAGGCCACCAAAGATGCAAGTGCACTACCTCTTCTCTTACAGAGAGCTGCCCCTGGGAGGTAAGACTTGACAGAATCACTTTAAAGGAGACCTGCACTGTGAAATGCAACTGTTGGCAGCTCCCTTTTAAACATTCTAGTTACTTGGCTGTCAGGCTGGTCCATGGTTTCATTATTCTGAGGCACGGACCTGGAACAAGAATCAACATCAGGAATTCTAACTTCTAATCTGCATGTTTGTGCTAGGTAAGTGACTAAGAGAATATTGAAGCCATAGAGGGGCACTAATAATCTTAGAAAGTCTGCACATTTTTCTTCAACTACCCAAAAAAAAAGAACCCCACAAAAATGGATGATGCAAGCTTCTTTTTCCTTTTCAAGGTGAATTTGTTATGTGTAATGCAGGTTCAGTGTGTAGTGATAGTAATGGAAATGGCACGTACATGGGGATGACCACACTGTTCTAACTTCAGGAGCAGTGCAGCAACATTGTCACCTTATCACAGGATAAGAGATGGACCTCACTTGCAGGATCAATATGTATTTTTGAGCCTTTGCTGGGGAACAAAGTAAAAATTGTATTTGTAATGTTGGTACTTTGAATTTGACTTGGTATCAGCTCGGCAGCATAAGGAACCATTCTGGTGTGCTGCTTTTCAAAGAGCCAAGGTGTTAGACATTGGGTGTCATTGCCGTCATTGACATCACCGGTTGGCTGGAGCTGAGCTGGACGCTCTGGCTTGCATCCTTCCGAGCTCCTGGCCAGCACTGACATCAGTGAGCTGGGTGTGACGCCGGACAGAGCCACTGATGGCGCGGCCCAGTGTCTACTCCCCCCATCCCCAACAAGTGACCTAGTGACCATTCCTTGCCAGCTCCAACCCTTCTCCCCCCCTCCCCTGCTCATGGATCTACTGCTTCTCCTTTCAGTTACATGGTATGGATAGGGACGGTACCTGTAAGTTAAAGTGCAAGTTCAGGTCCTCTCCTCAAAGCCGTGTAAATCTTAGGATTGAGTAGACTAAAATACAAAATAGCAGGTATAAAAAGCTCCTATGTGGTTTTGTTAATCTGTTTAGAGCAGAGGTATGCAAACTTTGACCCTCCAGCTGTGGCAAAACCACAAATCCCATCATGCATCTACCTTTGGGTGTCATGCCTGTGGCTATCAGTCTTGCAATGTCTAAAGGTATTTGTAGTTGCACCGCAGGTGGAGGGCTGAAGTTTGCCTGCCCCTGATTTATTTGGCGTTCAGCATTCAAAATAATCCCTGTGTTTTTAATTTCTTTTATTTGTGTAGTTGGGTTGGAGTGCTGCTTAATTGCTTTGTAGTATTACAATAAGTGGTACCAATGATAATCTTAATGACTGCCATCATTCTCTGCTGATGCCTGCCAGCTGCTGGCAGACACGTCATTCTATGAAATTGAACCTGACAGTGAGATCTGAGAACTGGCACGAAGTTTGCAATTCTCTGCTATTCTGAAGTGTCTCCGCTGTGTTTACACTATACATGTCCCCCCGCTGCCTTTTTGCATGATCAGTTTCCTAACACACGGCTCCCTCCAGACCTGTGCAGAGACGGCTGTCAGAATTCCACATGAGATGGATTCAGTTACAATCAAAAATTAATTCAGTCCCGGTGATGTTTCGTATTGCAAACAGTGATTTGTTGGTGAAGTTGGATTTACAGTCAGACAGTCTGCAGAGAACGAGGTTCTGCTGGGAGCAGTTTTTGGAACACAAATAAATGGCGGCTTAAGGCTAAAACCATTCACAGCGAAAGTAGAGATTTGTCTTCGGAGATTGGTGTCCTTGGTTTTATGTCGATGTAAGAGTGCAAATATCCCAGAAAGCCAGCTGCAAGGATTTATGTATTGATATTTCAGTCTGTCCAATGGTTTCTATGGAAAGGGGTAGATTCTGAGATGGTCCTCGTGTAAATAGGTGGGCGGCACAGCTGCTGCTATTCTGATGAGTGGCACGAATGCTTCCCAAGGCTGTGGAGCATTCACGCAATTGCTAAATCACCTCCGACTTCTGTGGTAAACAAAGTTAAAGGGCACGGGATCAATATGCCCTCCGTCATTGATGCCAGGTGTAATTTTGGCAGAGCCTGTGTCTTATTGAAGTGAGGATTATTTTAAATTTGGGTGGTGGTCTTCCACACTGTCATTTGGCCTACATTGTGGAAAGTTATAAGTACGGACAGAGCTTTATTTGTAAGCGAGAGGTAGGTCTAGTACCCAGGGACAGGTTCCTGGCGAGAAGGGAGAGTATAGGGATGCCTTTGGAGTAGGCCTGGGTTCTATTCCTTAGACGCCAAGCCGACTTGAACAGCAGTTTGGCTTTCCTGGTGTAGTTCTTCAAACCGCATCTGTTAGGACAGAGCCCTTACGGCGAAGTTGCCTCTGAAGTGCCAGACAGTTACATGCTTAAGGCAGCCTTGCCCTGCCTTCTATATGTAAGCCTTGCAAATTGGCAGCCATTGCTGGAGTAAGTGCATGTAGACAGGAAGTGCCTGCCAAGAGGCTGGAGTAAATCCATAGTAGGATGGGGAAAAAAAGGGGAACACAATATTACAAAAAAAAAATAGGCATGACAATTGTTTAGTACACAGTGCTTTAGCAACCTAAATGTTATGCAGTACATGGATAGTTACCGATGCAAAGTGTCCCCCACCAAATCTTTATGATTCAGCTTGGCCACTTTGTGCTTCTCCATACGACTGATGGACTCCTGTAAAGTGGTAAGGACAATGTGTGTTTCAATAATCCCTTAATAAATAAAACCTGAAGGTGTTATGGGCCATTTATTCAACTTACCGATCTTGGTTTGTAAACCTTGTGTATATATTTTTCTTTCTCAGCATCTTTGAACAATGGCTCAGAAGACATCAACCCTCATTGGATGTTTTCCCAGAAGCCAATGCACCCGTTGGACACAATCGGGCATACAACATGGTTCCATTTATTCCATTGTATACTAATGGAGAGTTCTTTGTCCAGTCAAGAGACCTGGGTTATGAATATGATTACTTGGCAGAATCAGGTACTATTTTTTTTTTTGTAATTATTATTATTATTTTACGGCACCAAGAAACTGCATTATTAAACTGAGTACATTGATAGTCTGTATTGCAAATTAGTAATACTTTTGATAATGTAGTTTTAGAAACTGTAAGTATGGCCACAACCTTGTTTTTTTTCTTTAGTTTTGGATAGAGTAGAGAAGGGTTAGAACATTATTTCAGTCTGTCTCACCCTTATTGTCCTGTTGACCATTGTCTGCGACCGAAAGTAAAGGAAAAGCTCACATTTTACAGTTGTCCCCTGAACAAGAGGTGACGGTACATCTTTCAATGCAGTTTCCTGTGATAATGGTCTAAGAGGGGAATTCCTCTCACTTCCTGCTGCGTCTTTGTGACGGGACATGAAGGGAAATCTCATCGGGGCAGCGGAAATCCAACAATGGGTTATAACTTTTTTTTAAATCTTTCCCATATATACATTCCATCACATCCAAAGTGCAGCTTTTTGATAGTCAATGTGTATCAGCAATGCCTCTTCCGGAAAGCGATCAGCTTGCAATGGGAATAGAAGGGTATGAGGCATTCTACTGAATGTTCAGAGAGACTTGTGATTACCTGGACTGCAGAATGGCTCTCATAGCGGCAATTACACTGCCACAGTGAAGAGGCCTGCTGTGCTCGAGCATTGCCACAAATCAAAGCGAAAACCATGAACAGGTAAACTGTGTCCCCAGTGTATGTACATACTACAATGCTAATATTTGCCTGAAGCAAGGGTTTTTTTTCTCTTGAAAATTCTGCAAATTCAGAAATATACTTGGTGATCCTTCCTAGAAATCTGGCATACTCTTAACTTCCTCTAGTGAGTTTATAACACACTGCCTCTTCTGCACTGCAATCCCAAGCAGTGTTGGCAGCTCTACCCAGTTCTCCCCTTTGTGCTACAGACCCACCATCCTTGTATGTCATGGGGAAGAATAAATGGTGAGGTGTTCTGTAGCCTAGCACAGTTAGGGATGACCAGTTGGTGCACCAGAGGCAGCCTTGGCAGATCACTACAGGAAGTTAGGATCTTACTGGATTTCTGGAAGATCAACAGTGTTTTTAAAGTGGGTAGGAAAACATAGGGGAATGTGCATGAATTGCAGAGATATACTTTTCCCTCCAGATTTAAAACTTTAAAACCCATCGCTGGGCAAAAAAAAAAAAAATGCCCATGTAGTGGGGCTACCCTGCACATCAAGGGTTAAGTGCTCATTTTTGGTCTAGGGACTGGAGTAAAGCAGATGTACTTACCTGACCGCCGCTCTCCCAGCAGTCAGCATTCTCTCCCTCTGCTTCAGCTGGTGGAATGTCCCTTGGCATCCTCACATCTAATGCAGGTCCATGGAGCTTGCATTACATAGTTGCATAGTATTTGAGGCTGAATAAAGACATAAGTCCATCAAGTCCAACCTATTGTGTGTGTGTGTATAGGTCCTTGAGTGTTCTCATTCTTAAGAGTACCTGTACCCTTGTACATTACGGTCTCTCAGGAAATCGTCCAAAAGATTCTTGAATGATTCCAGACTATTTGTGGAAATCACTGCTTGAGGCAGCGAGTTCCAGACCCTAACCGCGCGACCTGAGAAGAACCCCCTTCGCCCCTTGTGCTTGGACCAGATGAAGGCATCGGTCCCCAGAATGCTGAAGCCCAGGGGACAAGAGACTATGGGGGACCAGTCTAGCAGCCTGGAGAGAGCAGTGATCAGGTATGTAAACCTGCTTTACTCCAACACCAAAAACGAGCACTTAATCTTGCAGAGCAGTGATAGCCCCACACTGCAAGCGTAGTATGTTTGCCCAGAGATTGGGCTTTAAAGTAATGTACACAAAATCTGTTTTTGAAGCAAGCCATCTGAACGTTGGATGCATTTTGAATGTCCAGCTAATATAATGGCTGGAAATTAAGGGGGAACGTGGGTAACAGGAGTTGTGACACGGCACTTGCTGGGCTGCAAGTTGTGGTACGGGGTTGCAATAAAACATTTTTTTTGGAGAGCTAAAGTGAAGGAAATGGAAGAGTAAGGACCCAGTTAACGCATTTTCAAAAGTACAGGCAAAGTTATACTTGTATAGTTCCACTTTCTGAAAAAAAAATTTCACCTTCTAATACAATGCAGCCATGTAGCACAGCTGGGGTGGTAATTTTAAAAACTTTTCTTGATGTTTGGTTGCTTTTATAGTTTTTGTTTTGAATTTAGTATTCACACAATATTTGCTGCACCTTGAATTCTTTAGTCTTTCCATGGTATAATAGATATAGATGTACACAGGCAAGGGATGAAGCCATAAATGCTGGGGTACGTCCCCTGGCATTTCTAACACCCTAGCAATGATTCTAGTCAAAGGGTAATAGCAAGATTGTATTTAGCATAGGACATTCATAGGTCACCTCCAAGAGTGCAGCAGTGTTCTTACATGGAACATGCTGACAGGAGAGATTCTCGTCAGTATACTGCTGCTTTTAAAGGTTAGAGCCAAATGTAGGCTGCCCCCTATTCATCAGGTTCTTCTAGGGCTTGGAATCCTGCAAAATGTGGTAGGTTCCTTCTTTTTTTTTTTAACAATGCCGGTATACTAGGTCAATGTATTTTATTCAAAAGCCCTCTTATTACACAGTGGCGTTGGACACTTATGCAGACCAACAGAACGCTGCAACCCTAACGGTTAGATCAAGTAACTCGAGTCCTGCTTCTCATTAAAAAAAAACCAAAAACAGTAGAAATGTCCTTCATAAACCTTCTGTGGTTCGCGATTAAATATATCCAAATCACTTCTGGTAATACAGTGCCTACTTAAACATATTTGGAAAGGTCTGATTTTTTCAGGGTGCTGGTTCTGTGAAAGGGAAGCGGCTGTAGTCACCCATTTTGTCCCTATATGATCTATGCGTCCCATAGTCATGTCTCGTCTACACCTCAACTTGGGTTCCTCACTCCTCACCAGGGCTGTAGGAAGGGTGAGGCGAGTGAAGCACTCTCCTCAGGCGCAGCTGCAAGGGGGTGCAGCCAGGGCCACACCTGGTGACCGGCCAGGGGTAAGAGGTGGGTGCTTTTGGATGCAGTGCTGATCGCCTGACATTACCATCTCGCTCATGTGCAGCTCTGCCGCTTATTGGTTGGTTCCCATGTGTTGGGGGAGTTGATGGCAGCTGCAGTGCTAATTGTCTCACTTATTGAGTGCTGCACGGAGTTCCCAGCCAGCAATTGGCAGTCAGTTAATGCTGCTTAAAGCCAGCTGAAAATGCAGTGCACCAGATAATGAAGCATCAGACCTTTGACCCCCCACATGACCCCTCCCTCTATACCTTGCACATGACGACCTCCGTCTATACCCCGCATGCAGAGCTAAAACGTGCTGAGAGATGGCAAGGAAGACTTGAGGATGAAGGGGACCTGGGAATTGACTAAATATGTAATTGGGAGAATTTTCTGCCATAACCTGCTCGATCGCCTCATGAAGTAAGCAATTGGTATCATGTACATGTAGTTACCACTTAAATTCAGGGAATTTTATGATGTTTGGCAAAAGATATACAAGTACAAATGCACTGATCTGGATCACAAGAGGAACGTCAATGCTAACGTATTGGGAGTAGTTTCTGCTCTATCCCCCATCACCCCTGGAAAAAACCCTTTTACTTCTTTTTGCTGTGTCCCCATCTTCAAACGATGCCCTGCCCTGTCCCCATCACCTCCTTAATCGTTTCTCCCCCTTCTCTGTCCCTAATAACCTCATGTCCTCATCACCTCTTAAAAATTCATTTTACTCCCCTGCTTTGTCCTTATCACTCCATGTCCCCATGCTCTGTCCCGATCACCTCCTTAAAATCCCCTTTACTCCCCCTGCTCTGTCCCAATCCCCCCATAAACTGTTCTCATTAAATGTATTTCCTTTGTTATTTATTTACTTTACTCAAAATAACAATTTTCTATCCTTGCCTCGGGCGCAAAAGGAGCTTGCTACGGCTCTGCTCCTCGCTGCTTTCACCGTAGGGGGAAAGTGTGATTGTCCGCAGTCCTCTACACATCATTTGGGTCATGCTCTCTGCCGCCTCTTTAAGCTCTCAACATCACCCCATTCTTTAAAATAGACAAATGTCCAAACTTGTATGGTTCACGATTCCACATATGCAAATAATTGGTGGTAATGCAGTGCACCCCTAAACACATTTGTAATAGTTTGATTTCACTGTGCTGGTACTGCAAGAGGATGGAAGCAGCGGTACTCACATAATGTTCCATTTATGATCCATAGTCATGCCTCGCATAGTTCTCATGCATACCCCAACTTGGGTACATCCTTCCCCACTGCTTTCATCGTAGGGGAAGTGTGATCTATGCAGTTCTCTACACGGCCAAGCTGGCTAGACAGAAATACAAAGCCTTTGACTGGTACAACATATGCCATGTATGCATTTCAACTGTGTGTTTTGAGTAGAATTTTGCATTCAAATAAAATTAACCCAAAGCCATTTTAATTTTCCGTTAAGGAAGCCCTATGTGGCATCCATTTGAAAAGATACAATTTTTGCTAAAAGAACACCTGCAAGTACTATGCAAAGTTTATGGCGCCAGGTAGCAAGATTGGAGTGCTGCCTGAATTTAATTAAAACATTTAGTCTTGTGTACCGTTAAATGGCACTTCCAACTTTTTAATGAAACTTGCATTGATGAAACCACTCCAATGCACTTCCCTGTGGCTTAGACCGGCTCTCTAGCTGCTGGGAAGCAATCGCTTGGCATGCTTAGTAGCGCCGGGTCCTCAGATAAAAGCTGGCTGCTTTTTAGTATGCATGTTGCATTTGTTTTTGACATGTACAGCTTGAGCGAAGAAGCCAGAAAAAAAAAAAATTAACAGACGTATATACCCAAGACAATGGTAATTACAGCCATTTTATTCATGGCTAGTTTTATTAGGACCATTAATTCTACAATGTTATGGGCTTCATAGCATATTCTCTTTTACGTGTCCCTCATCTAAATTAAGGCCTTGCAGCTGAATATCATTGAGCAGGCTCATTGAGTATGCGAGGGATAGAAGGAGTTACATTCTGTATAGCAACAGTTAGGAGGAGGGTAGGAACTGTCGGCTGATGGTCTGGATGGATATTACAGAAGAATACAGGGGTCTTCTGGACTCTGGCAAAGACATCCATATTTAGGTGCCCATACACCTGCCGATTATCGTACGATAATCGCGGGTGCTACCGCGATCGTACGATAATCGGCATGCGTATGGAAGGCGTGCCACTGTTTCTACTGTGCGTTGGCACGTCTTTTGTCTTCCGAGCACGCTCGAAAACCCGCCGAGAATCGTACGATTTTCGGCGGGTTAGTGGCATGCTTGGAAGACAAATGCCGAACGTGGCGGTATGCACAAGCGTACACTGTCCCCTCAGCATTGGAATCATCGGAAGCCCTCCCCTCAGTAGGGAGGGCTTGCTATGATCGCAAGTACGATCTGCCTGTCCAAGGTGGGCAGATCGTACGAAATTTAATTACCGTACAACCATCGCACATCGAAAGTCATGCGATGGTTGTAAGGTGTATGGCCACCTTAAGTGTAAAACATTCACCCATTCTTATCCTGATCCAATCAATGACGTCAAAGACACCAAAAATGTATTTTCCTGCTTGGTAGATGTTTTAATGGTACACTTTAAATAAGAGAATAGGGATAACAGACCAACTAGACGCCTTATCTAAAGAGGGCCAACTAGCATAAAACAGTGTTATGCAGTTTAAAAAAACAAAAGCTTCTATAATATTAGGTCCCTTTTACACAAGCCATCCAATCGGATCAGTCTTTCAGATTTACAGGCAGAGCTGATTGGAAGCCAATGTAACTCTATGGGCAGCCAGATGTAAATGGAAATGTCAGTTTTACATCTAGCTACCCCCGACTCCGTCTAGGTCTGGAAACCTGATTATAACTGATCGCAGGTGATCAGATGTACTATAAATGGCTATATCTTGACTCCCCCTATCTTGACTCCCCCTAGGTCCATACAGGTCAACTCAAGAGTGACATCCATTCCATTCTGCTGTGTTCAGTAGGAGATCCATGCATGGATCTCCTGCTGATAGGAACGGATGGCGCCCATGTGAAATGGGCCTTAGGCTGTAACTGAACTATAAACCAGCAGGTCTGCATGTACATTTGGCCACAGGGGCATGGCTCCATCTACTATCTCAAAATGAGGAATAAACACCTTTATTTTTTTTTTTATTATTCATGGATGGAAATGAGACGAGCAAATACCCTCTCTTATCGTAAGACTCTACTGTGTTAATCTAGTCGCAGCCTTTCTTAAGCTTTTTACCCCAGAGGAACCCTTGACATCCCCCTTATGCTGTGCTGGCCGCTATGCATCTCAGGCTGCTGGCTGTCACTGGCGGTGTGAGGAGGAACGTGTCGCTGTTGGATCACCGACTACCTGATGGTGATCTGTGCAGGGACGCGTTCCTCCTCACAGCCGCTGTTGAGTCAGTGACAACCAGCAGATGTGGAGGAGGAGGCGGGGCCCGGTGGCGGAAGAGGAGGCGGGGCGCGGTTGAAGAGGAGGTGGGGCCCGGTGACGGAAGAGGCGGAGCCTGTCAGCGACCATTGACGTGGATCGGGGTTGACGGGTAAGAGGTGTGCAGCCCACTTGAGACCCTGCAGATCCCACCATAGAGAGTCTATGGCAGGCTCTGCAGGGTCACTCTCAGGTGGGCTGTTTGGGATCTCAGGTGGGCTCTACAAGGGGCATAACTAGAAATTTTACTATGGGGCCCTGTGATTTCTAGTTACGCCCCTGCCTTCGTCGCAACCAGAGAGGCAGCATCCTTGGACCATAACCAGGTCCACGCACTGCACATGTACTGTTATCATTTACCTCCTTCAAGGAGTACATCCCTAATTTTTTCATATTTATATCAAAACAGATTCCCACTCCTACTAGTCCAGCAATATCGCATACCTATCCGTTCCCCAAAATTGAAATTGGGGCAGATATCCTCTGTATATAGCCATTTACCTGGAGTGCAGCTCCAAAGAGTGTCACTGGAAAAAAATGGGGCTCTCAATCCTCTTAAAAGCTGACCCTGAACAGGTATCCAGATCGAGAGCTATGGCTAGGGTGCCTGCTAACTCCCTCCCATTTCAGATTGGCAATGGTGGCCAACATATATACCACAGTTAAAGTGTTCTATAGAGTAGTGTACCCATTACTTTTTCTATTATTTCTCATAATCCCTTATTGTAAACATGTTAGTTTTTTTGGAGTCTATCATCAATGTGCCTTAATTATTTACACGGAGACACTTCCTGGCTTGATCCAGTACCTTCAGTCTTGTGCTGATAAATATTTGCAGAAGCCGTCGTCTGTTTATGTTATTACACTTTCACATGTTGGCTTGCTAGAATTTAATCAATAGTGTTTGTGCTGATACAAAACCTCACAATGCATCATGTGTTATTGATACAGTAGCAAAGATAAATGAGGTGTGCGGTACATGACGGGGATTGCCCGGGCCTGCAATTCCTGTGGGGACCATGTACCAACTGTTTGAGGGCCACAGATCTCTTGAAAGCAAGACTGTCAATTGGATACTTGTATATGCGCATGTTGTATATTGATGTATAAAAGCGTGAGCAGGGTTCTCTGAGCAGGCTAGAGGAAAGCCAACAAGAACGTAGTTATTTGATCAATTAATACAGTCTACATTTGTGCACGGAATTCATCCTCATGGTTTATCCAACTTGAGAAACCAAAAAAAAAAAGTCTAAAGGTTTATTGGCTATTTCAAATGCTGGTTAAATCACTTACAATGGATGCTGCTCCTTGATGATTAAAAGTTTTAGTTTCCTACAGAGTCAGCTGGTTCCCTGAGCACTGCCCTGATATCCTGTTTTAGAGCAGCTCCATTCCCTATAGGGGTTCTTTGGAGCCACCCTTGTGTGTGTTGGTAAGCTGCGGCTCCACAGACACCCAATTCATCCTTTGCTGTATATGCTCCTAAATGGAGGCTCTCATAGATTAGAGTTAGGGCCATGCTACACAGAGGGGCCTTGACGAGTCAGGTGTTTTTTAGAGGCTGGCTGTTGAGTGTGCTGGGCGAATGTTTTGATGTTCCACAGACACACAGGCACAGAAAGGCAATCCATTCCCCTCTTCTCCTTCCTCCCTCCTCCCTTCTTCAGGCTGGTGGATGGACAGTTTCAGGAGATAGCTTTATCTTGTGATCACATCGGTACACATTCCAGGAAAACTAGAGAAGAGGGAGAATCTGTGCGCACAGCAGTCCCAGAACTGAGCTGTGGGCGCTGCAGTACAGCTGCTGACCGAGTTGGAGGTGACACCTTAATTATTTTAGTAATGCCTTGAGTTCTACTTTACCACCAGTTCTATACTGGAGGAGCAGATCAGTGATTGGCCATATTGACAGCAGACTGAGGTACAAATCTGTACACCTCAAGGAATGGATTCCCAGTTGACAACCTTAAGGCCTGTTTTACAGCGCGTTCCTACGTGCTGTAAAACGCTCAACATGTGAAAACCAATAATTGCCTATGGGCATGGCTCCCACCTGGGCGTATTTCATTGCGTAGGAACGCGCTGAAAAACACCCTACGCCCAAGGAAGTAAAGGAGCTTCTTTGGGGCGTATTTTCCGTGCGTATCAATTAGGATACAGCCAGATACCCCTCGGAAATGCGGTAAAAACGTGCAGCACAAAACGTGCGACAAACACACATATTCCGTACGCCCAGGTGTGAACCCAGCATTACGTTGTACAAAATGGTTTTGCATAACTGGCCCAACCACAGTACTAAGAAAATTAACCATACAGTTTTCACTCGAGTACTAAATTCACTTTCTCCTTTCAATCACTCAGGTTCCATTGAAGACTTCCTGTTGCCCTATTTGGAGCAAGCAAGACAAATCTGGCAGTGGCTTGTTGGAGCGGCATTGGTGGGAGGGTTGATCACTGCTGTGATTGCAACCATTATCAGCCTAATGTGCCGGAAAAAAAGGAAACCCATCTCAGAGGAGACCCGACCACTTCTCATGGAGGCCGAAGACTACCACGCCACTTACCAATCCAACCTATGATACATGGGTGCCAGTTAAATTTGAAGTATTGACCTGTACTAGTGTGTTTGCATATCTACGTGTCGGCAATTTTGTGGGCTAAACAAATGTCTGGGAAAGTGGTCTACACTCCCCCACTGAAAAGGACATCTGTGTTTTTGTTTAGGTTACACAATAGCTGACTGCATGGTTCATAAGTAACTAAAAGGGTGTTAATACCTTTTTTTAATGGGCTTTCATTTATCTCTGTGATAATGTGTATAATGTTACACATCCCCAGTTAGTTATGGTTATGGAGTACTCAACAGGCATGAAATGTGGGAGCCATAAGCCCAAAAGATTTTTTATATAAGTGCCTGAAGGAAAAAAAAAACCCTGTGTTGCCTTTTAGCACCACTGTTCCTTTCAGCAGAACAATTAAAAAAAAAAAAAAGTGTTGCAAAGCAGGAACTTGTCAGATGCTATAATGTCTGTAGTGTTTCAGTCCGTTACCTACAGCCTTCATCTAGGCTTTCTTAGAAGAAAAAAAAAGACCCTTAGAATTTGTTGCTATGGGCAGTTTGGATAGTTTCCATTCAAATGCTTTTGCTACATACAGCCCATGTAGTTATGTTAACTGGATTTTAGGCTCCAGTATTTGTCCCACTGCTAACCCTTTGGCCCCTTGTAAGAAAATGTTTAAACAAAGATTCAATTTGAGAAATACAGGGGCTTCCATTACTGTCCTGCTGTCTTCAATGTCTGATCACTCACTGCAGGTCACTCAGCAATCCTTCTCTGCATACTTGTTCCTGAAGGCACCAAAGCCAGGGGTTCAATATGATTACTCCTGGAGGAGAAATGGCCATGCATTGACATATGTAGTGTTAATACAGCCCATTTGGCCATGGACTGCCTAACACACCAACATTGACCAAAAAGGGTGCATGCACCATTGTGTAACAACACACACCAGAAGCACTGTAGTGCATTACTGTGTTTAGTGGGGTGTTAGGGTGCCAACACACACTTTTCATAGCACATTTTGAATCCATCCTAGGTGCTCATTCATATCAAAATGCAGTGTGCTACATTATACGTCCTATTCAAAAGAATTCAATGCAAAGTATCAAGCATATGCATGTGTATGGTGCAATATAGCCTAGGTGCTTTGCAGTGAACTGTGGATGTGCATTGGGTGCAATTAACAACACAATTAACTTTTTGCATTACAACACACATCTACATTAGTTGCAGTGGAATGCGTGTCCTGGTCCCTGGAGAAATACCAAGGCAACTTGACTAGCGGCTAGTTTCTTGTAATGTACTGTCGGCACATTTGCCTGGTTGTTTTGGGTAACACCACTTCTTCCTATGCTTCAATTTTGCAAGCAAACCCAAAAATGTGCAACTATATCTTCTTAAAGTGAAATACTACTCTCTTCCCCTTCAGTGATGCAATGTCACTGAGCTTCCTTGCTAGCATCAACATCTTCGCCCGGTTTTCTCCCAGATCCGGGATTTACAGCGATCTTTATTGACCAAAGTTTCTTCTGCAATAAAAAGCATGCCTGTTCACACATTTTCAATTTTAATGTGAAGCTCCACTTGAAAAACCTATAGTGCCACAGAATGTACATGTCCAGTAGCCTGTACTATTGTGATATATATGTGTCCTATATATTGCCTGCTATAAATTGTCTGAAATGGGACCAGCAAATAAAACAATTTTATAAACTTGGGTAAAAAGTAACTTTGTTATTTATTTGGTGGTGTTTTTTGTGTCTTGGGTCGAATGGCCACTTTGCATATGGATGTAATTTGTTTATATAAATTTTGTTACGCATGTGCTGATTTTGTGTGAGCTAGGATTTATTCATTTATGTGGTCAATCTGTGACTTTCCACTCCGATGAAAGATTTTATATATCTAAGATTTCGCTGCCAGAATTGCAAGGATTCAGTGTGCACCATTTTTAGGGAAGTTTGTGTTTTAGTTACATAGTTACATAGTGTCCATCAAGTCCAACCTATTAGGATCTCATTCTAGGAGTACCTGTACCCCTGTATATTACGGTCCTTTAAGAAATCGTCCAAAAGTTTCTTGATCAATTCCACATTATTTGCTGAAATCACTGCCTGTGGCAGTGAGTTCCAGACCCTAACTGATCTTACTGTGAAGAACCCCCTTCGCCCCTTGTGCTGGAATTTTTTTCCATCAATTTTAGGTGGTGGCCTCTAGTTTTTGTAATGGAGTTAATTTTAAACAGTTTATCGCAGGATTACGTGAAGGATTTAAAGTGAACCTGTGGCCAGGCTATGGATATTTAAGTATTTACATTCTTTTTCTTGGCATGCAAAAAATGTTATAGTTTTTTTTTTTTTGGGGGGGGGGGGGGGCGGGGAAATACATATTTAGAATCTCTGAAATAAAAAACAGTTTAATGTAAAAATTGTTTAAGGAGCACAGAATTTCATCTAAATTTGCACTGCGACTCTGTGACTGTGCTGCATCTAAATGCTTCCGATCCACACTAATTTGCTAGGATTTTGCGGTCCACAATTAATACACACATTTTCATGGTATACATGAAACCCTCATCTTGTATTTCTATACTCCATTTATGTACTTAGTTTATACTTTAAATGCATGCAAAATTCAAATCTGTGTGCAGCCAAGCAACAAAACCCTGTACATCCACAGCGAGTGTTATATGTAGTGTCTTTTTCTCCATCGTTTTCCTGAGTAATGTGATATCATCTGTGCACGATGGAGTTTAAAGCCACATAGAGAGCTCAGCTCTTTTCTGTCTTAATCCCCGGCACTCCGGAGAAATCCATTCGAGACAGAAAACGTCCACACTGAAAGGAAATTGTTCTTAGAGCTCGGGTTTACGTTAAAGGGACATTCACATAAACATAAAAATGTTGGACGCTACAAAAACATCCCGAAGCTAACATATTTTTATGGCATTTAACAATGGGTACTTTAGTGGCCTCTTTTTAATTGTTAATGAAGTTTAGACCTCGTACCATTTAAAGTGATGCAGAAATACACTTTTCTACCCTACAAGCATGATTGGCATTCAAAAGTGGCCCCTATATGTAGTTAAAAAAGACAGCTGTAACAATCCAGACAGTGTGTTGGTAATGCATATTGCAGCTCACAGAAGGCTTGGAAAAGAAAAAAAGAAACCGGCAGAAAGCTTAAAAAGTTAGTTTAGCACCATCAACTGAGGTTGCGGTGGTGATCGATCTACTGCTGCTGCCCATTGCGTTCTGATGTCCAAATTCCCTTTTAGAAGTCATCAACTTTTTTCAGCTAAAGCACTTGTAAAGGAGAAGGTGGAAGATTGTGGTTGGAGGGGATTTGGTACAGGGAGGGGAGTCTCAAAGGTTGGGGGCTTTAGCTAGAGCAGATGGAGTAGGCATGTAAAAGCCCAACTCTAGATTGCTCCCCGGACTCACCCCCTTTCTCCTTCATCAGCCCCTCCTTCCACCTAGATTTTAATAAAATGAAGTCTAACAGGGTCATTCAAAAAAGGGTGAAGAGTTTGGAGAAGGCAGGAGAAGTGAACAATCTAGGATCACATAGCTGAACTGGAAATTTTTCCAAATCAGCTATGTTGTCCACTTCTTTTGCCTTCTCTAATCTAGGACAACATAGCTGATTTGGAAAAATTATCCAGTTCATCTCACTTTCCAGTTCAGCTATGTGGTCCTAGATTGTTCACGTCTCCTGCCTTCTCCGATTTCTTCACCCTTTTGTGAATAACACTGTAAATACTTTCATTTCTGGTGTGTTTCATACAGAGTCGTCCTTCTCCAGCCTTTCCCTGTCTACAGGTGCTCAAGCTTCATCTGTATGTAATTTTCTCAGGGTGGGTTTCCTAATGGTTCCTAATCAGGTTTCCAGACCTAGACTGAGTCGGGGGTAGCTAGATGTAATAGGGTGACAACAGCGGAAATCAATTGGGGCAGACCACTGTCCCTCTGTAACAGGAAGTACCTTCCTGGCAAGATCACCAGTTATTATTTTATCCACTCAAGTCCCGGTATGGCACTTGGATATCCGCTATTCATCACAGAATGGTTTGAAATCAGCAACTGTTGTGTGCCCCCTCTGACCTTAGTGATGGAACCTCTGGCTGCCACTGACAGCTAGTGTCTAGTGCTAAGCCCAGGAGTTGAAAGGATCATCTCCTAAGCTTCTGATCTTGCTATACAGCAATACATAGGGGTTGATTTACTAACCTCACAAACACGCCATGCATAAACGCGCGCGTGCGCGTATACGCTTGGCGCGGAAACGTATGCAGGTTATACAGATGCTTGATAAATACTACCAACGCGCGCACATGGCGCGTTAAAATGCCGAGGATTCCATAGGGATGTGCAACAACCAACAGCAAACCTCCACCATACCAGGCCACATGCCCCCGGCTTTTGGAGGGTGCTGTTCCCTGGGGCCTCTTCCCTGCAATCCTGACCCAGTGGTTGTGGGGGGTCTGTGGGCAAGGGGGCTCATCTGCATCTGGGTACCCCTTTCATAAAGGGGGCACCCAAATGCCACAACCCCCCTTGTGAATGAGTAAGGTGTACTTGAACGCCTACTCATTCACTAAAGGGTTAAATAAAATGTAAATAAACACAAACCTTAGAAAAAATCCTTTAATTGCATAAAAAACAAAACAGAAATATTTGACAATTCCTTTATTTACAATAAATGTAAAAATGTCCTACAAAGTCATTCCAGCATCGGCAGACAATTGAAAAGAAATAAAACAAAGTCTGCTATTGACTATTTAAAATTAAAATAACCAATAGCGGGCTTGCTAGTGCTCTACCCACTGCTGATGTCAGTCACAGAGGAGCAGACCTGAGAGAGAACTTTCTCTCTCAAGTCTGCTCCTCTGCAGGAGAAATAGCCATTCTGTTAGCCAACAATAGCCATTCTGTTACTGGCTATTTTAAATTTCAATAGCCAATAAAAGAATGTCACTTGCTCAGCCCACTGCCTTCTGTCAATCAGCAGAGGAGCGGACCTGAAAGAAATGGATTGGCCACCACATAGTCCAGACCTTAACCACATTAAGAATCTTTGGGATGTGCTGGAGAAGACTTTACACAGAGGTCCGACTCTCCCATCATCACTACAAGATCTTTGAGAAAAATGAATGCAACTCTGGATGGAAATAAATGTTGTG